GGTTTCGAATCAAGAGCACTGTGGTGAGGCCAGTGCTGTGGTGGAGCAGGTGAAGCCGCCACCTGCAGTGCCGGCATCCCATATGGGTGCAGTTTGTGTTCCGGCTGCTCCACTTCCGATCCAGCTCTCTGCTATGGCCTGGGAAAGCAGTGGAAGATGGCCCAAGTCCTTGGGTCCCTGCACCCATGTGGGAGACCTGGAAGAAGCCCCTGGCTCCTGGCTCGGGATCAGCGCAACTCCGTCCATTGCGGCCAATTGGGGAGTGAACCAGCAGATGGAAGACCTCTGTCTCTGTCTCTCTCTCTCCGTCTCCCTCTCCTTCTCTCTGTATAACTCTGACTTTCAGATAAATAAAACTTAAAAAAAAAAAAAAAAAGCACTGTGCTTCCAACTGGGGGCAGTTTTGCTGCCCAGGGGCCATTTGGAAATGTATGAAGATATTTTGACATAACTGGAGAGAACATACTACAGGCATCTAGTGGGTGGAGACAGATGATACCAATAACTTCTGAGCATCTTACAGAACATTCAGGATGGTTCTTCACAACAATGAATTACCCGGCCTAAAATAGCAGTAGTGCCAAGGTTTGGGAATCTAAGAATTCCCTTCCCTCTCTCCTGCAGCGTAAGGTATGTTTCTCCTCCTGGGCCAGGGTGCTGGTTTTCCCTCCCCTGCACAGAACTGGCACCTGTAACCCAAGCTTCTCTCCCGTCACCCCTTCTTTCGCCCAGACCTTTGTCTCAGCCAAGAGGAGATAGTCCCTTTCTGGAGACTCATATTTTGTGACAGCTACCTCACTGGGTGTGTGGAACAGACAGAGGTTAGGGTGGCATAGTCGGAAACCTGTTTGATATAATGGGAGCAAGAGCCAAGAATAAAGGGACTTTATTTACATCTTTATCTCCAGGTAAAGTGCTTGCCCCATAATGTGGCCTCAGTTAACTTAAGCCAAATGAGTCAGCTTTTGGCCAGGGTCACCAAGAGAAAGAGTTCTATAATTTTTTTTTTTAAGATTTATTTATTTGAGTCAGTTACAGAGATGGAGAAAGAGCACTCTTCCATCCTCTGGTTCACTCCCCAAATGGCCACAATGGCAAGGGTTGGGCCAGGCCAAAGGCAGGAGCCAGCAGCTTATTCTAGGTCTCCCACATGGGTGGCAGGGGTCCAAGCCCTTGTGCTATACTCCACTGCTTTCCCAGGCACATTAGCAGGGAGCTGGATCAAAGTGGAGCAGCCAAGACTTGAATTGGTGCCCATATGGGATGCAGGAGCTGCAGGTGGCAGCTTAACACCACAGCACTGGCCCCAGCAAGTCTAGGGTGGCAGAAGTGTGGACAGTCTGAGTGGCGGCCACTCGATCAGCAGCTGCATCTCACCGGGTCTGTAGAGGATTTGCCTTTACCCTGGTGCCTGAGACCCAGTGCTTCCAGCAGCCACAGTTTGTTTCCACAATTTATATCCCTGAGAAGGGGGGTCTTTAATCTGCAGCTTTTTGAGTGGCACACCATGTGGCTAGGCCACTGTCAACCATCCAAGAGTCAGTAAGAAACCTGACAAGGTGCATTGAACGCATTGGCCAGGTCTGACAACAGCATTGAGTTCTACCCACTGAGCAGTGACCACACCCACTTTAGTTCTGTACAGCTGCTGCAGAGCTTATGCAGCCACAACCGCATGCTGAACGTTTTTGTTTTAAAGCATTTATTTGAAAGGCAGAATTAGAGGGAGGGAGGGAGGGAGAGAAGAGAGGAGAAGAGAGAGACAGAGTTAGGGAGTCTCTGAAGTGAAGGCCCCATGGAACCAGCAGATACGGGCAGTGGCGTAGGAGATAAATGGTTTCCAAGTCACTAGTAACTGCTGCTTCAAACACAATTAAAATGATGCTAAGCCCGCTGCATCCCTGTAAACACTAGTTTTACTCGGCCAACAAGGCCAGTTTAGTGAGGCGGTCTGTCTCCAACACCCAAAGCCTTCAGTCAGGTGTCAGGCTTCCTTTCAGATGGTGACATCTCTGCAGCTACAAGGGGACTGGCACTGTAAATCCATCTACACAGTCCCCAAATCTTACTTGAGGAACAGACCCCTGAATTTTGCTGGAATTTACCAGACAGCCCTGGTGGTGGAGTGTGATGATACCAGTCAAGACCCATGAGATTGAGGAGTCTGGCTTGAGAAACAATAGCACACCATAGCAACAGAGTAGAAGCACTTTTTTTTTTTTGACAGGCAGAGTGGACAGTGAGAGAAAGGTCTTCCTTTGCCGTTGGTTCACCCTCCAATGGCCGCTGCAGCTGGCACACCACGCTGATCAGGTGCTTCTCCTGGTCTCTCATGGGGTGCAGGGCCCAAGGACTTGGGCCATCCTCCACTGCACTTCTGGGCCACAGCAGAGAGCTGGACTAAAGAGGAGCAACCGGGACAGAATCCGGCGCTCTGACCGGGACTAGAACCCAGGGTGCCGGCACCACAGGCGGAGGATTAGCCTAGTGAGCCACGGCACCGGCCAGCACTTTTGACTAACCCCCAGCTCCCCTCTGGTGGCCAGTGACAGGGGCGTGTGTTCCATGAACCCATCGCTAATCTAACAGTGCCTTGAGTAGGAAAGTCTTCTCTGAAACTTCCTGTGTGCGTCAGGCTCAACACCCAGCAACGGCAGATGACATACACCAACAGTGCACTGAGGCGGCCCAGAGGGCCTGACACACAATGTGTATTTTGTAAATGTTCAGAAATCTTTGCTTTTCCTCACTTTAAAGTTTTGCCCAAAACCTGTCAGATGAATTCAGATGTTTTATCTCCTTATTTACCAGGTATTGGCATGGTCTTGGTCTTTATCAATAAAGACCCAGAATATATCTTACCCTTGTGGTCCAAGAGGCAAAGTATATTTTATAAGCATTTAGCAAAGAAACTAATTTTTTTAAAATATTTTTTTATTTGAAAGGCAGTTAGGAGAGACAGAGAAGTCCACTGGATCATTCCTCAAAAGGTCACCATGACCCAGGGCTGGGCCAGGCTGAAGCAAGGAGCTTCTTTCAGGTCTCCCATACGGGTGCAGGGGCTCAAGCTTTTGGGCCATCTTTTGCTACTTTCCCAGGCTATTAGCAGGGAAGTGGATTGGAAATGAAGCAGCTGGGGCAGCACTACAGGTGGTTTAACCCACTGCGCCACAGCGCCAGCCCAGAGGAATCTAATTTTCACAACATTTTTATTTAGTCTATTTGTGTGTGTGTGTGTGTGTGTGTGTAGAATACAGGTCTAATAAGCAAAATGAAATTCATTCTTATGTAGTAGGAGATAACATTTCACTCCAAAGCTGTAATTCTCATCAAAATCAATTGCAAATTCCCATCTGTTCACAGTGGGGCTGGTGTTGTGGTGTAGCTGGTAAAGCCACCACCTGCAGTGCTGGGCCCCTGCACCCACATGGGACACCCCAAAGAAGCTCCTAGTTCCTGGCTTCAGCTCAGCACAGCTCTGGTCACTGTGGCAGGACAGAACTTAGGGAGTCAATGTACAGGGATCCCAAGCAGCTTTATGACATAAGCACTGGAATGATTTTAGCCTGATTCTTTCCATTTAGTAATTTTGGGCTGAACCCCCCAAATGATTCTTTAAAACCTACCAACCCTACTGGAATCTGACAGGGTAGTGGCTGTTTTGACCCAATACTGTTTAGGAATGTGGCACAGGATGCTTCAGATACTTACTTAAAATGCTTCAACTTACTCCTTCAACTTTACGATGGTGTAAAAGTCTATGAAATGGACTCTGGAAAAAAATTTTAATTTATTTGAGAGTTAGAGCCAGAGAGAGGTTTTCCATCTGCTGGTTCACTCCCCAAATGACCATAATGGCCAGAGCTGAGCTGATCTGAACCCAGAAGCCAGGCACTTCTTCCAGGTCTCCCACCTGGGTGCAGGGCCCAAGGACTTGGGCCACCTTCCACTGCTTTCCCAGGCAAGAGAGCGCTGATTCAGAAGTGGAGCAGCCAGGACTCGGGACTCGAACCAATCAATGCCCATATGGGATGCCAGTGCTGCAGGCTGGGGCTTTAACCTGCTGAGCCACAACACTGGTCCCAATCTGAATTTGATCTTTACCTGGGCAGATAAAATAACTTGCTGGCTTTCTGGGGTAGCAGCAAGGAGCCAGTTTCCAGTAAGCCAGTGTGGTCACAAAGGTAAGCCAGCACTCCTAATGCTGCCTTGAGAACTTTGAAGAATCCACCAGAGCTTCAGACAACCAAGTAAGTAGAGCCAAGGATTAATGGTGAACATTGAACATCCTTGTAGCATGGATGACCACGAAGCAGTGTGGTCAGGAGCCATGCTGGCACAGGTGCAGCTATAAAAGCTTCCTGGGAGAGTGGGGGCCAGTTCTGAGTCCCTGCTGCTCCACTTAAGATCCAGCTCCCTGGGAAGCAGAAGATGGACCATGTGGGAGACCCTAAGCAGCTGTTAGCTCCTGACCAGTCCAGCTCCAACCTTTGCAGCCATCTTGGGAGTGAACCAGCAGATAGGAACTCTCTGTAAACTCTTTCAAATGAATCTATAAAGAAAAAAAACTCATTAGTGGTAGTGCTGTTCTGTGTGCAAAATGGAATTACCATGAGGTATCCCATCTCTGTTGTCACAAAGAACTTTTTGCCAAAAGCTTTTAGAAACCACTCATTCTGCTTGGCTTACTGTCTTCTTCCCCCTTCATCTAAGCCCAACTTCCCATAGTTAAAAGCCTGTATAATTATATCGGGTCCACCCAATCCAGCAATTTCTCCCCTTAGTGTGCTGTTTCATAATTAGCACTGTTACTCCACTTTACATGCTAAAGCAGCCAAAGTGTTTTCAAAACAAGCGTTAGTTTTGTTATAACAGCCATGTTTTTTAGCAAAAAGGTCCTTGTTAACTTTAAAGATTCAAATATTCCCTGGGCACAAGTTTATTTTCCTATGAAAGACAAAAGTAAAGTCATTTAAGTAGAATCAAATTTGAAAGGAATGTTCTGAAGCAAACCATCACAAATAGGACATTTTATTTGTCACTATTAAAGTCTAATTTTTAAACAGATTCTTGGACGGGTGGTTCGTAGCCATCAGCTCGTTCAACTTTTGCACCCGTCTCATCCCCAGTGGCTTTTCCAGAACTGCTACCTTCTCCGTGAAGCTCCATGAGTTTTCCCACTGAAAGAAAGAATACAGTCCATGGGTTACAGCGCATCACATCGTGTTTGATAATTTTCAGTACTATGCGCAAAGGGGACCCTTATCTGGCCTTAAAAAAAGGACAATGCATGTGTCCCTGGTTTTCAGGAATCCCAGGAGCTCTCACTTACATTCAAACTTGGGCTTCTTCAGCATCTTCACTTTTCTAACGAAGACATCATGGAGAGGATAAATAGATTGGCAAGCCTTCTCTATGTCTTTCCCAATGCTGTCTGGGATCCTGCAAACCACCAGCAGTGACAGATCAGATGAATAAACGTCCTGGGTTCACACACTTAAAGGGATAAGCCATGTCCTGGGATGTCTACATCATTTAATCCATATAAACCTTTACGTAAAATTGGTAAAGGATAAATTACCTGAATCATGTATCTGGCTACCAAATGGGAATATCAGAAAAATGTAATTTATCATCGGACATCATCTGGGACCGAAACTTTTTTCATCACTTATTCCCATACATTATTAACTACAGATTTTATGTATTCAGTGTACTTCCTAATTGAGGCAAAAAAGTTTCCTGTCCTTAAATCTCCTCTCCTGCTAAGACAACTCTGTCCATAAAAAGCATTTAACACTTTCTCGAAAAGGGACACTACCAGAAGAATTCAGAGAAAATTTAAAGAGGTCGGACTCCATCTCATCTAGCATGCCACGGTTAAGATGCCACAGGGCAGCCACTACCTGCAACATCAGTACCCCATATGGGCACAAGTTTGTGTCCAGCTCCCTGCCACTGGCCTAGGAAAGGAGCAGAAGATAGCTTAAGTGTTTGGGTCCCTGCCATCCATGTGAGAGACCCACATGAAGCTCCTGGTTTTGGCCTGCCCCAGTGCTAGCCACTGTAGCCATCTAAGGATGAAGATTTCTCCCTCTCTCAGAAATAAAAAGATCTTTAAAAAGTAGACACTTGGGGCAGGCACTGTGGCGTAGCAGGTAAAGCCGCCGTCTGCTCCACTTCCGATCCAGCTCTCTGTGCTGGCCTGGGAAAGCAGTAGAAAATGGCCCAAGTCCTTGGGTCCCTGCACCTGTGTGGAAGACCTGGGAAGAAGCTCCTGGCTCCGGATCAGTGCAGCTCTGGCCATTGTGGCCATCAGGGAGTGAACCAGCAGATGGAGGATCTATCTCTTTCCCTCTCCTTCTCTGTGTAACTAACTTCCAAGTAAAATAAATCAATCGTAAAAAAGAAAAAAGTAGACACTTACAATTTATTGACTACTTCTTTCAAGTCATTTGTTTGCACCTCCCGTGTCATGATTTCCATCATCTTCTTCCGGATCTGGCGGACCTGCTGGTGCTGAGCATAGGAAGTCTTCCGTATCTGATTGTTGCGTTTTTTGGTAAAACCAACACAGAACAGACGAAGCAAATAGCCGTCGGTAGTCTTGACATCAACATGAGCTTCAATCATGGTCTAGGGAAAAAAAAGATACTGGCAGATATTAAACAGCAACTCTTTTAACATTAAAAAGTTGGAATGCTAAACACTCAATGCAGTATAAACTATCACAGTAACATCTAATTTACAGAACAAACTGCAGATGTGACCTGATACCCCAATTCTTTTTTTTTTTTTTTTTTTACAGGCAGAGTGGACAGTGAGAGAGAGAGACAGAGAGAAAGGTCTTCCTTTTGCTGTTGGTTCACCCTCCAATGGCCGCTGCGGCCGGCGCACCGCGCTGATCCGATGGCAGGAGCCAGGTACTTATCCTGGTCTCCCATGGGGTGCAGGGCCCAAGCACTTGGGCCATCCTCCACTGCACTCCCTGGCCACAGCAGAGAGCTGGCCTGGAAGAGGGGCAACCGGGACAGAATCCGGCACCCCGACCGGGACTAGAACCCGGTGTGCCGGCACCGCAAGGCGGAGGATTAGCCTGTTGAGCCGCGGCGCCAGCCCTGATACCCCAATTCTGACTATCCTTTTTAATCTAATAGTCCAAACAGCTGTCTTCAAGTCCACTGTTACTGTTTACTGCACACACCTTAACCCTTACACCTTTTGCATATACGTGTATGCATTTAACAATGGCCCATCTATGCAAGATGAAAATAGGTTAAAAAAGGAACATGATGGCCTACATTTAGGGTTTGCTTTTTAAAATGTGATCTGAATAGGTGAAGCATTACTGTAATATCAATATGTGTACATTAAAAAATGCTCTGTAAAGTCCAAACTGAAGCATGTTAAGGATTCAATATTCAATTCATAGCTAAAATCAAAATAAAAACCCAAGTTCATGGTTGTATAACCTGAATTTGAAAAGCAGAACTATCTTAAACAGTGACAGAAACTGATTTCCTTCTTTGCATTTTCCAGATTTCATACTTCAGTTTATAAAAAAGTGAACTTCAATACAAAGAGGCCTTAAAACATTTCCAGAATGAGAGCCATAAAACCTTATGGGAATGTCAGAAATAATGTAACGGTATAATCAGTGTATATCAATATCATTTGGGACCGAAACATTTTGTCATCATTCATTCCCATATGCAAATACCCCAAGGTGGATGATCAGCCAGACACAGTTAATAACCTGAAATGATACTTTTGCTAATCATGTTTACATGGATCGTTGCTGCACACCAGTTCTCTCCCACTATCTATCTATATCCCCAGAGGTAAATCCAAAGTAGCCAAAGACACTTTTTTTTCCTTATAATCTCCCAGATTTTGAAATCCAGAGATATTCTGAAACAAGGCGACGCTGCCCACTGACACCCGGATCTTCACCAAGTCAAAAAAATCTTTCCTGATAACCAAATTATTAAATCTTGGCTTCAATTCATAAACAGGTTAGTAATCAGAAGAACCATAGCTTGCCTACTTATGCTCAAACTCAGGGGTGCCTACCCCAGAATTAACATTCAACAGTACTGGGAAAACAGGAATTGAGAACGAATCTAAGTTCCAATTACACGACTCGCTCCTTTCTGTCAGCACACCCTGACATGCTGGGTCACGCACCCCGCTGCACCACAGGCACACAGGGGGCCTCTAGTCTCACCTGCCATTTTTTGACCATGGAGCACATTTTGTCCCGGGTAAGATCCATGCCGTGGAAGTTAGTCAGGCAGTTTTTGCCCTGAACATCCTCCGTAATCAGTTTGAATTTTCTAAATGCAACTTCATCGTTCTGCAGGTCAGCAAGACTCACTTCAAAAACACGCCCCTTGAGTCCATCAGACGCAATTTCTACAGAACGAGCATTAAATAAAGTCTTGTTAGCGTTAGGAACTACACAAGCAAAGTCAAGCCTACAAAGTCTTGCACCGAGTTGAGGTTAGACATTAAGGTAACAGAATTACAATGCCTGGCTTTAACAAATGTCCATCTAGATGAATGATCAACAGTGCTCATCAGAAATTCAAAATAACCCGCACATCTCAGTACCGTGTAAAACAGCAGCGGTGCCGAAGCTGCAACCAGGAGCTGACAGTTCCCTAGCGTCTCCGCGGCCAGGACTCATGGCAGAACATGCTACAGTTCCCGTGCCCCCGTGTAAGGAAACAGAACAAGATACTCACTGGTTCCTTGGGTCCTCGTGACCAGTGTTTTCCCAATATTTCGTATGTTGAACATAGCAGGTGCCTTCACATCATACCAATCTTTCTTAGAAAATGGGTCCACCCTGAATTTTAAAAACACCTTTAAGATTCACTGCATTATCACCTAATTCCGACTGCTTTTCTAAGCTTTTTCCTTCCAGTACCACTTGTTAGGAGGCTAACTGGCGATCTGATTCTGGGCTAAACTTTGTCCGACAGTGAAGTTAGGAGCGCAGCTCCTCCACGGGCTGCCACGCAACTCAGGCAGCCCCGCGAGTCCCGACAGCCGAACTCTCCCCAGCAACACGGCTCAACCGCCGCGTCCGCAAGGCCCCGAAAGCTACGACGAGCAGCCAGCCCGCCACGACACAGCAACCAACACGGCCAGGCCGCCGCTGTTTGCCGTGCACCAATTGCCCCCGGCCCGCGCAATCCAACCGGCATCTTCGCCATCCGGCCCACGCCGCGACCAAGGGCCCACCCGCTCACTCCAGCAGAACCCCAGAAAGCAAGTCTCCACAACAGCCGCCACTTACACTTTCTTCTTGGCTCCCTTTTTGCCGCCTTTCGTAAGGCGCTTGTTCTTGCCGACCGCCATGGTGGTGCTCAGAGAGCCAAAAGGGCGGAAGTACAACTCGCGCGAGAACTTAGGCGTACAGAACGGGGCGGGGCGCGTCGTTTACGTGACCTTTGATCGTTTCTTCTTCCTGCCTCAAGAATATCGCGACAACAGCGAGTGACAGGCCGCCCACTGAGGCTGCGACAGCGCCCTCGTGTGTCCGGAGGCCGTGCTGTGGCGAGGCGGGTGCCTGGTGGCCTTCGGTCCTTGGGAATGGCTGCCGGCGGTGTCTGAGGCTGTGACGTGAAGTAAATTTCCGCGGAAGGAGACGCCGGCTGGACTCGCCGTCCAGTGTATGGAATCAAGCAACAGAGCCTGGTTCAAGTGCGAGTTTCGGCGCCACTGAGCCTTGCAAACGCTCTACGCGTCAGTGTCGTGTACTTCACGAAGTTGGTGGGAAACTGGAATTTAAGAATAAGTTTATTTTGTTGAAAAAGCATTTGAGCCGGCGCCGCGGCTCACTAGGCTAATCCTCCGCCTAGCGGCGCCGGCACACCGGGTTCTAGTCCCGGTCGGGGCAACGGATTCTGTCCCGGTTGCCCCTCTTCCAGGCCAGCCCTCTGCTGTGGCCCGGGAGTGCAGTGGAGGATGGCCCAGGTGCGCAGTGGAGGATGGCCCAGGTGCTTGGGCCCTGCACCCCATGGGAGACCAGGAAAAGCACCTGGCTCCTGGCTCCTGCCATCGGATCGGTGCGGTGCGCCGGCCGCAGTGCGCCGGCCGCGGCGGCCATTGGAGGGTGAACCAACGGCAAAAGGAAGACCTTTCTCTCTGTCTCTCTCTCTCACTGTCCACTCTGCCTGTCAAAAAATAAATAAATAAATAAATAAAAAAAGAAAAAGCATTTGAATTGCATGCACTGGAGAAGCCCTCAAAAAGTTCATGGGAAATTGCATGGCTTTCAAAAAAAAATTTTGCACCATAATAAACATCTTTAAATTGTTTTTTAAAGATTTGTTTATTCATTTGAAAGGCAGTGAGGGAGAAATATAAAATTAAAAAAAAATTTTTTTACTTACTTAGAGACAGACAGACACTGAGAAAGCTCGCATCCACTGGTTCACTCCCCAGATGACCACAATAGCTGGGACTGGGCCTGAGCTGGGAAATCATCCAGGTTTCCCGTAAAGGTGACAGGGACCGAATTACTTGGGTCCTCACCTGCTGCCTTGCAGGGTTTCCACTAGGTGGAATCAGCAGTAGAGCCTGGAATTGAACCTAGGCACTCTGATGTGAGATCACGCATTTTTTTTAAAAAAAAGGATTTCTTTATTTAAAAATCAGAGTTATAGCGAGGCAGAGGCCGGGGGGGGGGGGGGTGTCTTCCATCCGATGGTTCACTCCCTAATTGGCCACAATGGCCAGAGCTGAACCCATCTGAAGCCAGGAGCCAGGAGCTTCTTCCAGGTCTCTCACGTGGATGCAGGAACCCAAGGACTTGGGCCATCTTCCACTACTTTCCCAGGCCACAGCAGAGAGCTGGATGGGAAGTGGAGCAGCAGGGTCTCGAACTGGCATCCGTATGGGATGCTGGCACTTCATGCCAGGGCGTTAACCCACTGCGCCTCAGCACCAGCCCCGCGAGATGCAGGCCATTAGGCTGAATGGCCACTCCCAAACTTAACTATTCATTCCATTTCTGCGAAGTTTTGGATGTAACCTCCTATATAAAATGAGGATAACAATACAAGCTACTTCCTAAGTGTGTTAGTAGGGTTAAATATGTATGTGGGTGTAATTCCAGGAATGCTAATAATGTTTTGCCTGTTGGTACCAGTGCTGGCTGGTGTCAGCTATGACCATGCCTTGTGAACATTTATTTATCAAGCTATGTGCTCACCTGTGTACTTTTTTATGTCTCTTATACATTGGTAAGCTAAGACAATGTGGAATACAATCTCTAAATTTTTCAGTTTTTTGCAACCAATCGCCCTCCAGGCTCTATAACTGTAGGGGTTTAAGAAAGCCCATCCTGGTGACTTACAGCCCCCTGGCTCAAGTGTGCAGCCCCTAGAAAGGTTCTGACCCAAACAGCCAGTGGTGTACTCAGTTCCCTCCTCTTGCTTTGCCTCTGGCACAAAACCCAGCGCCTAAGCCAGAGAGCTGCCGCAGTTGTGAGGCCCCTGCAGGCTTCTCAATCCGCAGTCCCTGGCCAATCCTCACCCCTACCCTCCAAGACCAACTTTCTAACGTTCTGCTCTGCCTCTAAAGTCTGAATAATTTTCCAAATCTCATTGCCTGGAGGATAAGGAGAAAGCCCTTGATTCACAACAGTATGAGCATACTTAGTATCACTGAGCTGCACTTAAAAGCGGTTAAGTTCTATGTTTCTCAGCCTAAGTTCTAAAACAAGTGCAAGTCCTTCGCTGAGGACGCGCTTCCCTGGCCCTGTTGACTGTTTTCTGTCCTCACCACAACCTAACCTGTGCAGGTCCACCTGCTGCAGCCTCCTAGAACTGCTTAGGACCACACAGGCTTCTATTGCCTCTGTGTATTTCTCCTCCATAGCAGGCAAATATCTGTGCATTTCCAAGACAGCTAGCTTGCTTTCTTCTTGCTATAAGAAGTGTAGTCCTCGGACAAGCAGGCTTCCCCTCGCACCTGCTCCCAGAGGCCTGGGCACCAGGGAATTTGTTAGTAACTAGTGACTGTGTGCCTTTCTCACTGTGAACAGGAGGGCACATGGTACAGTCCTTTTCTTGTATTCATGCCCCATCTCTTGGAACATAGCAGCCCCTCAAAATATTTATTAAATGAACTAACAAGAGATCCAACAGCATCAGCTGCTTTTTGGACTTTGTGGATCGGCCACATTCTCAAAGCAATTAGGGCAAAAACAGGACTGCAATGTTGAAATGTTGCCACACTTTAAAACAAACAGAGCAGTGGAGGCAGGCATACTGCCTAGCAGTTAAGACATTAGCCTCCCACACGGGAGTGACTGGGTGCGATTCCTGCTTCTGCTCTTGGTTACAGCTTCCTGCTCATGCAGACCCTGGGAGGCAGACGGTGATGGCTTGGGAGGCGGGGTCCTTGTCACCCATGTTGGAGACCTGGATTGAAGGCTCAGCTCCCTGCTTTGCTCTGACTCAGCCCCTACCGTTGTGGGTATCTGAAGAGTGAACCAGTGCCCTGTGTGCATCTCTCAGCCTCTGAAGTAAACAAATCATTAAAATTTTTAAATAAATACCAACTTCATTTACTATCAGGTCATTCCATAAATTATGAATACATGATTTTTACAAAGAACTGTGTGGATCTTCTTTTACCCATCTCATTGCACACTAGTGAAAACTAATGACCAGTGGAAGTCAATTAGTCCCTGCAAATGTAATTGTGGGCCTAATAAATTCTTGGTCTCATTTCTGTGCTAGTAGTAACCCTGACAAGTTTACCTCACAGGCAGCAGTTTGCTCCTTTAAAACTTTCCCAGTGGAAAATGTCACAGACCCCCAGGCTGCCTGCTTCAGAACAAAAGCCAAATTCACCTTCTTCCCGGTTCCTCATTTCGTTCAAGAGAGAAAGTCACAGGGGAACGCATTATTGAAGTCAGCTGCATCTAGTTTGTTCTAGCAAGAGGAACACCCAAGGGATTTGTCTGAGGCCTGTGTTTCAATCATTAACTTTGTTTTTGTAGTAAAAGCTTTTTTTGAAGGTTGATTTACTTTTTTTTTTTTTTTTTTGAAAGGCAGAGAGAGAGAGGGGAGAGAGATTTTTCTTCTTCTGGTTTACTCTCATAATGCCCCCAATAGACAGGGCTTGAGTCAGGCTGAAGCCAGGAGCCAGGTACTCCATCTGTACCTGTAGTTGGCAGGCACTCAGGTACTTGAACATCACTACTGCCTCCCACGGTGCACATTAGTAGGAAGCTAGAGTCGAAAACAGAACCAGGACTCAAACCCAGAACTCTGATGTATGTATGTGTGTGTGTGTGTGTGTGTATAAGTTTTGAAGACTAGTTGTTATTAAGTGATTTTTGGAAAACACTTTCTTACGTTATTAAAACACAAAATTTTGGAGCCAGCACTGTGGTGTAGTGGGTTAAGCCTCCTCCCACAGAGCCAGAATCCCATATGGGCGCCGATTCCATTCCCAGCTGCTCCACTTCCAATCCAGCTCCCTGCTAATGTGCGTGAGAAAGCAGCGAAAGGTGGCCCAAGTGCTTGGGCCGCTGCACCCGTGGGAGAGACTCAGAAGAAGCTCCTGGCTCCTGGCTTCAGTCTGGCCCAGCTGGCTATTGCAGCCATTTGGGGAGGGAGTGAAGCAGCAGATAGGAGATCTCTGTGTATCTCCCTTTCTCTTAACTCTGCCTTTCAAATAAAATAAATAAATCTTAAAAAAAATGATAACATTTCAGAATGTCTCTGGTTGTTTTAATGAAGCAATGCCATCCATTTATCACTCAAAGAAATTATCCAAAACATTGAAACAGTTGTGCTCATTTCAACAGAGGCATCACTCTCATAACCATGTCTTACAACTTGAGAGCCATGCATTTTTATTTTTTTAAAGATTTATTTATTTATTTGAAAGGCAGAGTTACAGAGAGAGAGAGGAAGAGACAGAGAGATAGATCTTCCATCCACTAGTTCACTCCCCAAATGGCCACAATGTCTAGGGCCGGGCCAGACCAGAGCCAGGAGCCAGGAGCCAGGAGCCAGGAGCCAGGAGCTTCATCTGTGTCTCCTCCCACATGGGTGCAGGGACCGTGGGACATGGGCCATCTTCCACTGTTTCCTCAGGTGCATGAGCAGGGGCCTGGATCAGAAGTGAACTAGTTCCCATACAGGATTCCAGCCGGGCAACAGCTTAACTGGCTATATCACAATGCTGGCCCCAAGAGCCATGCTTTCTAGCTACGTTCCTCTGGCAAAACCTCCCCTTCTCTCCTTTGCTTCTGCCACTGCAGACCACGCCTCACCTAGCCTGCCCTGGTTTGCTTTCCCAGGCGTACCAGCAGGGAGCTGGGTTGGAAGTAGGGCAGCTGGAATATGAGCCAGCGCCCATATGGGATGCTGGTGCTGAAGGCCAGAGCTTTAACAAGCTGAACCATAGTGTGGGCCCCTGCTTTGATATCTTAAATTTTAG